ATATTATACGTCGTCAGTACATTTTGATAGACTTTACAATATCTGAATTTTCTATCTAACTATTCTATTTGCAATATCTTAATTTCACTATTTATTTTCATTTCGTATATAATTTCATATTCCTTTTTTCTGTTTTACATTTTATTCTTAGATTGACATTTTAATACTTATATCACCTTTTTTGATTATGTTTACTTCATCATTCCACACTTTGTAACGGTTATTATTATTTTCTCTTAGTTCTTACTGCTATCATAATTCTACCCACCCACTTCATTTCACTTTAATTTTGTTTTCATTCATTCAACATTATTCATGTTTCTTATACCTTGTTATCTGGTTCTTTTCTTAGCCCTGATGAAGGACTGAACTTCAGGTCGAAACGACGGCAGATGTTAAAATAAATATTATTATTTTTTTTTGCCTTCTTTTTTCTGGCTGATCACCCCAACCATCCTTCTCTTCATTATTCACGACAGTCAACCATTAATCCACAATCATTTAACATAATAGTTATAGAAACAATTTTTTGTACACATATTATGTCATTAACAATCACTAATAAAGGACTTCAATCTACAACATTGCCTGATAAATTGTTTTATTGGGATTGGTTAATTGAGAATCTATTAAAACGCATACCATGATATATAAATAAAAACTCCATAACAATGGTAATATATTAAATATTATAATATATTATATCACTTTGAAACTAATTAACAGTTCCAATACTAGAAAATAAAACATTATTTAAAAACCGTATAGTAATTACATAGCCAAATAGAATTAATAGTCATTTCAATTAATTATTTTGTTAAGGTGGGCTGGCACTGTTTTTTGATAAAAGTCCTATTTAATACAATTTATAGTTTAAGTACATTTTAATACATTTTTTACAAGGTGTGTGACTGAAGTAAACACTTTTTTTTCTCCTCTTCCTCGTCTTTTCGGCTATATCAGGTTTTTCTCGGGCCAGCGGAGAGGGTTAGAGAATAATGCCAGAGCTAGAAGCTCTTCCCCATGTTATGATGGAGATCAACTCTCCAATATTTCTCAGTAATTTTCTTTAACATTATTGAGATTGAAAGAATATTAGTTTAATAATAATAAGTAAGTAAAATAATTAAGTATAATTATTTTCTTATTATTTTATTTAATTTGACAAGTTGTTGAGCTGATCAAAAGAAGAAAACTTATAATATCTCATTGCAAGTTATATCCTTTACTTATTATTAATATTTATTTGGAAGGTTCTCATATTAATTATAAAACTGCAGGTATTGTTCTGCCCTCTGCTAGTGATTAGTTCAAAATTTCTCTGCGAGATGTGCCAGGAAAGAGTTTCCACTTGAAATGAAATGAAAAACTTCCAATTTTAGGGAAATTCCAAGGTTGGGGGTAAGAAAATGGGAAACATTTTTTTCTATCAATCAAAGGCTAACTGGCCCAAGATATCTAAGCTTTACCATTTTATAAGATGTAAAACTGACCGATATACGATAAATATCACTACATTATACACTACAATTTGCCGATGACCAGGTAGGGAATGACGAAGAAGTTGCCCGTTACACGCAAAGGGAGCTCCTGGAGGAGTATAGAGCATGGGAAGTGGAGGTGAATATAGAAAAAAACGAAGATGGCATTTAACGGGACTATAAGAGCCTTATCACTAGACAATCGGAAATTAGAAAAAATCCATGAATTTAAATATCTTAGTAGATGGATAGAGGCTCCTTCAAGGATATCATGAAAAAAATCAGTATGGGAAGGCGAATAATTATGACACTAAATTCTGTGTTATGTACAAACGGGTAAGATTGCAAAACATATATTATTCCTTTTTGCAGAACGTCACTATAATTGGAGGTGAACTTTTGGAGACCCTGTTGTGCCATTTCCATACTCCACCATTCTCCTAACAAAAATATTAGGCGGAATGTTCAGCAGAAAACATCTATGGTCTACGACGTAGAAACGAAACAGCTGAAACAGTATGGACATACATAGAATGACGGAGTACCGATGGCCAAAATTAACCTTTCTCTGTCATCCGATAGAAAGACGAAAAAGAGGATGACCAAGGAAGAAATGGTTGCAAGATGTGGAATAAGGCATGGCTACCAGTGGTCTTCCAGAGAGAGACTGGCTAGACGGAAAGAAGTGACAAAAACAAAGTGGATACGATAAACTAAGTTGTAAAAATATCGTTTATAATAAATAATATAGAACTCGCATAGAATGAGTAGTTACATATAAATTTAGTAAAAAAAAAAAAGGTAAAAACTGACTCGCCAAAAGACAAATTAAAAAAATATATAGTGAAAATGCTGTTTGTCAGTTAACTTTAGAAACCATCTTGGTTTGATTGAACCTAAAATAAATTTATCACGTGATCATCCGAATTTTTTATTCCAGAACACACACAAAATAACAGTAGTTGGCCTATGAACATAGTTGTAAGAGTATTTCCAAAACACTTGGAGCGCTGCTATAGCTAAATAGATAAAATATTTCCAAATTGGAACTATTTGATCTCGAGACTTGACAAAATCTTTAATAAAACATCCAACATATAACATATATAGCCAATAAGTTTGGATCTATATGAGATGATTCAAGTCAGAATTGTGTAAGTCGATAAATTTTCATTTTAAGAAATAAAATATTTTAC